ATGTGGTGTACTCCTCAATGCCATCGGAAGAATCCCGGAACATATTCCAGTCTGTGCTAGCAAAACAGTCCTGTAGCTTAGCATCTGCGTCATCTGACCACTTCCGTATTGAGCGAGTCACTGGCACTTCTCCGCTTTAGTTTTTGCTTGTAATCAGGAATCAGGAGGATAAAGTTATGGTCAGACTTGCCAAATGGAGGGCGAGGGAGAGCTTTGTACGCGTCTCTGTGTGTGGAGTAAAGGTGGTCTAGAGTTTTTTTCCCCTCTGGTTGCATATGTAACATGCTGGTAGAAATTAGGTAAAACGGATTTAAGTTTCCACTGCATTAAAGTCCCCTGCCACTAGATGAGCATTTTCTTGTTTGCTTATGGCCTTATACAGCTCGTTGAGTGTGGTCTTAGTGCCAGCATCGGTTTGTGGTGGTAAATAGACAGCTACGAAAAATATAGATGAAAACTCTTAGTAAATAGTGTGGTCTACAGCTGATCATGAGATACTCTACCTCAGGCAAGCAAAACCTTGAGACTTCATTAATATTAGATGTCCTGCACCAGCTGTTAGACAAATAGACACAGACCGCCACCCCTTGTCTTACCGGAGGCAGCTGTTCTATCTTGCCGATGCAATGAAAACCCAGCCAGCTGTATGTTATCCAGCCACGACTCGGTGAAACATAAGATATTACCGTTTTTAATGTCCCGTTGGTAGGATAGTCTTGATCGGAGCTCATCCAGTTTATTATCCAATGATTGCACGTTGGCTAATAGGACTGATGGCAGAGGCGGTTACCCACTCGCCGTCGGATTCTTACAAGGCACCCCGACCTACGACCCCTATATCTCCGGCTCTTCTTCATGCGAATGACTGGTATTTGGGCCTTGTCCGGTGTCTGAAGTAGATCCTTCGCGTCTGACTCATTAAATAAATAAAATATTCGGGGAGGGTTTGGTTGGCAGGGATGTTCTTGTCCCATCGCGCACTAGCGACTCCTGTGGCGGGCCGGGCGCAGTGCATGCTGACTCGGTCAACAATAGTACGCAAGTATAAACACCATGGGACCACGCAGCCGTCATACCGCTCAGGAAGGACACGTGTTCTGTCTCCTAGAGATTAACGTACTTTGGTGCGAAAAGCGCAAATCAATCCCAGAACAACAACAAAGGACCTTGTGAAGATGCTGGAGGAAACAGGTACAAAAGTATCTATATCCACAGTAAAACGAGTCCTATATCGACATAACCTGAAAGGCCGCTCAGCAAGGAAGAAGCCACTGCTCCAAAACCGCCATAAAAAAAGCCAGACTACGGTTTGCAACTGCACATGGGGACAAAGATTGTACTTTTTGGAGAAATGTCCTCTGGTCTGATGAAACAAAAATAGAACTGTTTGGCCATAATGACCATCGTTTTGTTTGGAGGAAAAAGGGGGTTGCTTGCAAGCCGAAGAACACCATCCCAACCGTGAAGCACGGGGGTGGCAGCATCATGCTGTGGGGGTGCTTTGCTGCAGGGGGGACTGGTGTACTTCACAAAATAGATGGCTTCATGAGGAAGGAAAATTATGTGGATATATTGAAGCAACATCTCAAGACATCAGTCAGGAAGTCAAAGCTTGGTCGCAAATGGGGCTTCCAAATGGACAATGACCCCAAGCATACTTCCAAAGTTGTGGCAAAATGGCTTAAGGACAACAAAGTCAAGGTATTGGAGTGGCCATCACAAAGCCCTGACCTCAAACCTATAGAAAATGTGTGGGAAAAACTGAAAAAGCGTGTGCGAGCACGGAGGCCTACAAACCTGACTCAGTTACACCAGCTCTGTCAGGGGGAATGGGCCAAAATTCACCCAACTTATTGTGGGAAGCTTGTGGAAGGCTACCCAAAACGTTTGACCCAAGTTAAACAATTTAAAGGCAATGCTACCAAATACTAATTGAGTGTATGTAAACTTCTGAGCCACTGGGAATGTGATGAAAGAAATAAAAGCTGAAATAAATCTCTCTACTATTATTCTGACGTTTCACATTCTTAAAATAAAGTGGTGATCCTAACTGACCTAAGACAGGGAATTTTTACTAGGATTAAATGTCAGGAAATGTGAAACTGAGTTTAAATGTATTTGGCTAAGGTATATGTAAACTTCCGACTTCAACTGTACATGAAAAGCAGGAGAGAGGCTACACAGGGTTACTGCTTGGGTAACTACTAACTCCCTTGCCTGTGCCTGGTTGACTGCTCTGTATCACTCCATCAGTGAACTCCCTGAGACATGATACAGGCATCACCAAAGCAACGGTTGCCTGTGCGACCGACAGTCAAACGCAACACTGCAGCCAACCAGGCCAATGACATCATACCAGTAAGCAACAACATCACCCCTTGGGACTTAATTTGAGCTGTGGAAACAAACACACACGTTCTGAAAAACACAAGACACACTGTCACTCACAAACAGCCACTGAGTCAAGATGTACAGTTGAAGTCGGAAGTTTACATACACCTTAGCCAAATACATTTAAACTCAGTTTTTCACAATTCCTGACATTTAATCCTAGTAAAAATTCCCTGTCTTAGGTCAGTTAGGATCACCACTTTATTTTAAGAATGTGAAATGTCAGAATAATAGTAGAGAGAATGATTTATTTCAGCTTTTATTTCTTTCATCACATTCCCAGTGGCTCAGAAGTTTACATACACTCAATTAGTATTTGGTAGCATTGCCTTTAAATTGTATAACTTCAGTCAAACGTTTCGGGTAGCCTTCCACAAGCTTCCCACAATAAGTTGGGTGCATTTTGGCCCATTCCTCCTGACAGAGCTGGTCAGGTTTGTAGGCCTCCTTGCTCGCACACGCTTTTTCAGTTCTGCCCACACATTTTCTATAGGATGGAGGTCTGGGCTTTGTGATGGCCACTCCAACACCTTGACTTTGTTGTCCTTAAGCCATTTTGCCACAACTTTGGAAGTATGCTTGGGGTCATTGTCCATTTGGAAGCCCCATTTGCGACCAAGCTTTAACTTCCTGACTGATGTCTTGAGATGTTGCTTCAATATATCCACATAATTTTCCTTCCTCATGAAGCCATCTATTTTGTGAAGTACACCAGTCCCTCCTGCAGCAAAGCACCCCCACAGCATGATGCTGCCACCCCGTGCTTCACGGTTGGGATGGTGTTCTTCGGCTTGCAAGCAACCCCCTTTTTCCTCCAAACATAACGATGGTCATTATGGCCAAACAGTTCTATTTTTGTTTCATCAGACCAGAGGACATTTCTCCAAAAAGTACAATCTTTGTCCCCATGTGCAGTTGCAAACCGTAGTCTGGCTTTTTTATGGCGGTTTTGGAGCAGTGGCTTCTTCCTTGCTGAGCGGCCTTTCAGGTTATGTCGATATAGGACTCGTTTTACTGTGGATATAGATACTTTTGTACCTGTTTCCTCCAGCATCTTCACAAGGTCCTTTGCTGTTGTTCTGGGATTGATTTGCACTTTTCGCACCAAAGTACGTTCATCTCTAGGAGACAGAACACGTGTCCTTCCTGAGCGGTATGAAAGCTGCGTGGTCCCATGGTGTTTATACTTGCGTACTATTGTTTGTACAGATGAACGTGGTACCTTCAGGCATTTGGAAATTGCTCCCAAGAATGAACCAGACTTGTGGAGGTCTACAAACTTTCTTCTGAGGTCTTGGCTGATTTTTGATTTTCCCATGATGTCAAGCAAAGAGGCACTGCGTTTGAAGGTAGGCCTTGAAATACATCCACAGGTACACCTCCAATTGACTCAAATGATGTCAATTAGCCTATCAGAAGAAGCCATGACATCATTTTCAGGAATTCTCCAAGCTGTTTAAAGACACAGTCAATTTAGTGTATGTAAACTTCTGACCCACTGGAATTGTGATATAGTGAATTATAAGTGAAATAATCTGTCTGTAAACAATTGTTGGAAAAATGACTTGTGTCATGCACAAAGTAGATGTCCTAACCGACTTGCCAAAACTATAGTTTGTTAACAAGAAATTTGTGGAGGGGTTGAAAAACAAGTTTTAATGACTCCAACCTAAGTGTATGTAAACTTCCGACTTCAACTGTAGATGTAGAAATGGAGGCCAACAGGCGGGTCCATATTAGGACAGACAGCATGCTAGTCTCACTCTCCAGCTGGGCCTAATGCCTGCCTGCCACATCTGAGCTGTGTGGTCTATTACATAACAGAACAAAACCTTTTTGGGATAGAAAGGTTGGAGAAAATACTAGAAATGGCCTTTTACTTTCTTCTTCAAATAAAGTTTCAGGATAAAAGTCTCATACTCTCTTCTCACACCCTATTTCACGGTGGTGGTGATGACAGCATTGCTGCTTATAGGACAGATGGGTCTGCACTGTAGACCTCAATGCACTACACAAAGGCAAATATAAATCTGTAATGTTCTCATTTCCCTAAACCCCAGAGGCAGACTGAGACTAAACAAGTCTACTGTATAGTCATTTACAGTCTGCAAGGATTCCCATGGAGTTGTGTGGGAGACAACACATAGTGGAGCAGTGTTTATAAACTGTGCCTGAATACATCCCATACTAAGCCACTGTTTCAATCCAATGCATTTCTTTCAGTATCTGTCTGGTGCTGGGACTAGTTCTTTCTCCACTGGTTCCTGTTATGGGAGATTGGTGATAGTCCCTATGATCATGGAGGAGTAACCTAGATTATGTTAAATTACCAACAACATCCTCTCTCATGTTGTCCCAACTTCTAGCTGGAAGTAGTTGAGGGTCACCAGCACCAGCCTTTATGGGTATGTGGGACAGAAAGACCACCCCCATGGACCAATGTTGCCTGCCATGTGGGGGTCACATAGGTTAGGTATCAAATTCAAGTGCTTTCAAGAAATGCGAACGGTGAACAGTCCTGAATCAACTAGCTGAGTGGTTGACAGCCTGGTTGATATTAGTGTGAATGGCAGGTACCACCACAAATTTGTGAAGTAACGTGGACTTACCAGGATGGAGTGCATACCCATGTAGATGCGGCTTATGCAGACCAGCACACACCAGCACATTGCCAGAGTTAACCCAAACATGAAGGGGTACTGTAGAGAGAGAGAAAGAGGGATAAGGAAGGAGAAAGCATAGCTGAAATTATACTTCAATAGAATACGTCAACCCTTGATCTCTAGCAGGGGTGTCAAACTCATGGTTTTTGTTTTATCCTTTCAATTAAGACCTAGACAACCAGGTGAGGGGAGTTCCTTACTAATCAGTGAGTAAGTACAAGGGAGGAGCGAAAACCCGCAGACACTCAGCCCTCTGTGGAACGAGTTGGACACCTGATCTCTAGGCTTAGGCTATACACTTCTCAGCAATGCTCATTGAAATTGATTTGACATAGACCATTGGGCTAGCACTCAAAGGAATGGGGGCTAAACACACATTGTTCAGTCACACGAGGATTATGCATTTTTTTTACACAGCATGCCACTTGAGTCATTTTCTTATCAGATGCAGTGCACTAAAAAGAGAGAGATTGAGAGAGAGAGAGGACTGCTTAGGTTTGCACGCTGGTGAAAGCCTTTTGTTCCTCCGCTTCATTGTGGCTTAAGTGTTTGGATATTGCTAAAATCTCCTCTCTCACAGCTCAGCACAGCACAGAATCCCATGTAACGCCCGGTTGTCCTTCCTCCCACTCATCTGGGACTGAAACCTTGAGGGGAAATCAAGATAATGACTTAAATAACCAGAGTGAAGCCTAAACTTGCCGCAACACGCATATCATCATACTGGATTCACAGTGCACTACTAGTTCCTCTGCAGAAGTGACCACACATATGGTTGGAGATTTCAGTGTCAAGCAAAAAGTAATTTGTCCATCCACCTTGCCAGTGAACAATGCCTCACTAAAGGCTTTACACACAAGAGACTGAGAAACACGAGGGGAACAGAGAGAGAAAGAGAGAGAAAAAAGCTAATTTCTATGTGTGTGGATTAGCCTGCTGCCCTACTGCCTACTGCACGCTGGCCTACTGCCTACTGCCTGCTGGCCTACTCCCTGCGTCCTACTGCCTGCTGCCCTACTGCCTGTTGGCCTACTGCCTTACTGCCTACTCCCTGCGTCCTACTGCCTGCTGCCCTACTGCCTGTTGCCTTACTGCCTACTGCCTGCTGGCCTACTGGCCTACTGCCTGCTGCCCTACTGCCTGCTGCCCTACTGCCTGCTGCCCTACTGCCTGCTGCCCTACTGCCTGCCCTCCTAAACTGTCCTGATGTCAGTGTGTCTGTGGGAGCAGAGAGCAGGGGGTTGAGGAAACCACTAGCCTTGTGGCGGAAGACTGTCAAACAGCCCTGTCTGGCCTGGTCTGTGTCAACACCTGGAGTATCTGTTGAGGGGCCCCACAGCGCCGCATCCATGTTAACATGCTTGTTTGGCTGGACGCCCACTGACAGACCTCTTCTGCTCTGGTGTGTGGTCATACTGCGGCTAAGTCATGCAAACGTTTATGAAGGTGGTGTGTGTACAGCACTGTGCTGTGTGCAGCTTGTGGTTCACTGGCCGCTTGTTATTGAAGAGGATCTCTGCTGGGCTTGTAGCTCTGTGATCTCTTGGTGGTGGTGGATCCCTTCATTACTCAGTTGAGATGCTGACTGGACTGGATTGTCAGTGCAAAGTCTACAGTAGCTATCGGTGTTGTATCAACACAGCCAAAATAAAAGGTCACATCTGTAAACTTGGTTTGAATGGTTGTCCTCCCGGCCATGCCTGAAGCAGCCTATTGCCAGGGAAATGTTTTTCTCCATGTATTAGATCTGTCCCACAGAGGACCTTGGTTGCCTCTCCCTCTGGCTGTCCTCTCACTGCCAGAGCCTTCATACAGAGAGACATCTGGCTCTAATTACTGGTGCAGGGCCGGGAAGAGTGTTGGGAGGGGGTCTGCAGCACATCCCAAATACTTGCTCTGCTCAGGCAAGTCAGCAGCAGGCATTCCGCATGATGACTACGGCAAGCCAAAGCAAGTCAGAGTCAGAGAGAGGAGGCTGCCACACCCTGCTGTACTGAACCCAACTCTCACTCATGTGTACACTGTCCAGTGTTACTGTAAGGACGATACAAAAACTGCCTAACGAAAGAGCATGTTAGGCCTATCATGTTGAGATGACTGTCTTTTTGAGTCAAATCTGAAACAACACAACGGCTGGGCCATGGCATAACTCTAGTGCAGAGGAAGAATGTGTGAATGGCTTATCTGATGCCCTGCAGGAGGCTTGGGTTCCTCTCTTATCTCCAGGCAGACAGAAAGTGAGCAGTGCAGATACATCAATCCCTCCCCTGCACTCATGGCATGATTCAAACAGCATCATTGTCGCCTCTGAAATGATTCTCCAGCAGAGTTCTTTAGAACTTGGCTGCCAGAGAGAAGGAGTAGGTCAAACTCTAACTCTTTTCCCAACTTTGCTGTAAGTAAGAGTATGTTCTCAGTCAGCTAACCTGGTAAAATAAAAGTGAGTAAATTAGTAATAATAATAGTAGGGACCATATGGCCAGATGTAGATGTAGACCTTACAGACTACTATGTCACCATTTGCATACTGTACCAGGAAACAGGGAATGTATAGGAGGGACGTAGCCTACAGGCAGTGTAGGGGAAGAACGGTGTAATAACAATCTAATGACAGTGGAGCCATGAAGCACCCCTTTCTTTCCTTTGGCTCTTTCATGCTTCATGATGATTTGGTATGAGACAGAGTAATAAGGCCGGGGGCTTACAAAAGACAATACAAATTAGCACTGACTGTGGGAGTAACGCAATATCTTCTCAAACTGCACACTGAAACGAATCATGTCTGAGCCACTGTATAACTCTGATATAATTGTATAATTAACCCTTAGTGTAGCTAGGCTGTTCAATGTTTAGTCAAAATAATGTTGCACTTCACAAGTGACAGCAACATCAACAAACAAATCCATAGATTAAGGGCATCATGTTTACATGACTGTCAGCTGAAGAAGCCTTTGACCCTTGCAACTGTAACTTTAACAAGGTGATGACGCCACTTCTAGTGGGGTGACTAAGAGGAACTTGATGTTGAAACTTTGCCAAGAGGGGAAGCAATTTGATCAAACTGTGCTTTGATACTTCCTCCTCCTAGTTGAAAAGAAGACAGCAACATGCGATTTACTGTCAGCCAATAACACAGCAAAACTTTACCTCCCAACGGCCATAGGTCAGCAGGAACAGTGTGAAGGGAATGGCCGTGCCTGCCATGGCGTGTGTAGAGGGCATACTATACTCAGAGTTGTAGAACATCTCCACCTTAACCACGGGCGGTGAGGCTGGCCTGGACCTGCGAATAACATCCTTGGTGCTCTGGCCAAGGTACATGACCCAAACCCAGACTATGATCAGTCGCCGGCTGACGTAAGCGTCCACGTTCCATATGATGAACGGGAAAAAGGTGATGTAAAACAGCTCATTGCCCAGCTCAGTTCCGAAGGTGAACAGGTAGTACAAAAACGTGTTCTCGATTAAAAACTCCTGGCCCATATCGCCTGTCAGGGAATTTTTGCGCAAGGGCTTGACAGTGCTCCTAGAAGGACTTGGGTGCTCACTAATCCGGACATCAGGTGTCTCAGAGGTGCATTCCACCCTGGACTCGTTGACGCCACTTGAACAGTTTTCTGTGAGGTCCGGTACCCCAACATCACTGGCACTAACGAGGCGGCAACCGTTCCCGCTGTGCCCGTCCGTTTTCCCCGCAGCAGGAGTGACCATTGCCTCGTTCTGAGAAGCATTGTCTACCCCTTCCTGTTTCAAACTGTTCCCCGGAGAGGTGACTTTCCTCTGCCGAAGACTCTCGGTTTTCTCCCCTTCTCCACCTCCGTTGACAGTACATTTCTCACTTTCACCCTGGAGATGGCTAATGCTGTTGTTGTGCAAGCGAGCTCGCTCCACTTCTTTGGTCTCTGCTGGGTTCCTAGAAAACGTCCCGCGCACACCACAGATCTGCTGAAACCGCGCTACATGAATCGGGTCTTGGAGATAATTGCAGAGTTGTCCAATTTGCCTTATAATATTGTTTGCCATGTTGATTCAGATATATAGCACTGTCTATTTCCTATAAATTACCCGTTCGCTAGCTAGCTAGCCATCTAGCAAGCTTCCTATGCTTTCAAGCAGCAGCTCGTGCATCATTACAGTTATTGCTCATTCCATATAGCCTGTTCCCATAAAATAAACACGTTCATCACGTTTTCCTGTCGAAGGCAGCAACAAGACCGGTTAAAACATTAAGTGATACTGTACAATAATCGGCAAACACGTTTTAAATGACAGAGGCTTTTTCTTGTAGCTAGTTGTCCTGGAACCTCCGCTATCTCAAGTAGCATCCGGTTAATGATAGATCTATGAAGTGCTCGGGAACGCGCACGCATGGGTGACGCACTCAGGATTTCAACGGGACTGCGCTTGTATTCAGGTTAGTACTAATCGATTCCTTTGGACGTCCCTACCCTAAATCATTTAAAACGTCAACTTCAACGGGGTAGGGACATCCCTAAGATTCTAGGGGTGTGTTCGTAAATTCAATCTGGAGTGCCAGAGTGCGCTCAGAGTTCGCTTTGGGCGTTCGTAAATTCAGAGCGATTCGTTCTCGGAAAGTTCAGAACGCACACTGGACGTTCTGGCTGAGGAGTAGGGTTGATCCGAGCGTTCTGACCTCACAACGGCAGTCAAGCACCCAAGCTAACTTTGGCTAGCTTGCTAGCTACTTCCAGACACAAATGAGAGAATCTCACTCTGACCATTTTACTCGCCCTAGCAGAGCTGGTTAGGGTCTTTTCATGTTATCCAGCGCGTTGGTGACTGTGCTGCTGGCAACAATTTAATAACGTTATTTTGCATAATTATTCAACAGGTGCTCAGCGTTCATAAAGTCATCAGTTATTCTACGCTCTGACACACTCAGAAGAGAGGCGCAGTGTTGCCAACTCCTCAGTAAGGAAAGTAGCTATTGGTTGTCCTAAAAGTCGCTAAATGACGTGATCACCTACTTTGCATAATTGACCATGTGCATGTAATTGTGATGGAGCTGTAGGAGAGAGGAATAACGTCGTGGGAGAGACAAAAAGTGAGTAAAAAAACACCCTAAATATGTTTAGAACTACAAATGAACTTTCTTCTGTCGATTCTTGTTTTTTTTTCATGTCACAATTCCAACCCTCCTCCTTTATCCGGGCTTGGGACAGGCAAAAGTGAACCAAAAGAGACACTCTGGCGGAGTTACTTATTTAAAAAATTTTGTTTTGTTTTTTTGTTTAGTTTTCTTAAGTTTGGTTTGGTTTTTAACCTTATTGTCCACTTAGGAGCCTACAACAAGTCACAGTAAAACATGAACATTTTTAACCATAACATTAAAAAAAAAATTTTTATACAATCTACATTAACAATCTAAATGGACCAAAAAGAGACAATAGAAAAAACTGTCAATGACAATGTGAGAAAATGATGGTAACTAGTCTGGCCCTAATTCAGGTTAATTGTTTGTTTTTTTCAGACCCCCCTCCACACACACACAGGCTGTGCTGGCTCACAGAAAGAGTGGGTCATCGTCATTTTGGTCAAGGCTCTCTATGGCAGGTTTGGCAACTGAGGGAGCTGACTTAAATGAGTAAGCAGCTGATGTGCCAAAAAGCTGCAAAACATTATCAGGCAGCTGGTGCTCATAGCAAGCCTCACCAGACAGCTTCAGTCCATATCGAATGTACAGGATGGAGTTAAGGGTCTGCAAGGACATCCGATTTCTATGTTTGCTTTTTACCACACTCATCTGGCTGAATACTCTCTCGACTTCAGCATTCGAGTGTGGCAAGGACAACACAGACACAGCAGTCATGGCAAGTTCTTGAAACGGGTTGATATCAGCTGCATCCCTGAACTTCCAAATCTCATTCCAGAAGCCCAGTGTGTTTTTTGTCTCATTCCATTTACTAAAATGGATGGCACGCCATTGCTGGACAATCTTGTCTATCTCTACAGGGGAGTAGCCAAGGAGCTTGGCTATTTTTTCTATTTCTCCACGGCTCTTATTGTGCTTTAGTTTCCTCCACATTGAAAACGGACATGTACTGCAATGCTTCGATGTTGTCCAGCAGTCTCACCCTCAACTAATTAGTGAGGGAGATGGTGAAGGCTACACACCGCTTTCGGACATTGTTTTCATCCTCAGGCGCAAGGTGGAGCTCAGCTGCCTTTGACTCAAAAAGGTAACCAAGGTACGGTTTGGGACGGATGTATCCATCTATTGGCCCTTTGAGTACATTAACATTTGCCAGTGGATTCAGCACCCTGCTGCTCACAGACTTGATCAGGCTAACCAAGCTGTCAAGTAGCTTAAGAGGATCTACTTGCTCTCCCTCAAAAGCCTTGATGATCAACTGTACCTCACCCAGCACTGACTTCAAAAAAGTCAGATACAATATGTTTTGAGGATCACTGTACATGGAGTATAAAATCTCAGCCATGTAGCAGTGTTCACTGGACTTGGTGACTGCGAAATGCAGCCTAAGCTCCTCCCACTGGTCCAAAATGCGTGAAACCGCAGGTTCAATGGAGAGCCAACGTGTGGCACACACCTTGGTTATCTGTAAAGGTTTCTCCCCACAGTTGATGCTCTCACATATGGCCTTGTAGGCCTCCCTGCGCTTTGGAGACACTAAAAACCTCGTACCAAGTACTCCACACTACGGGGGATGTTGTCATTGGAAGCATGACTTACAGCAAGCTGCAGAGAGTGACACACACAGCGAATAAGAACCAGATCTTTGAGGCCATACTCCTCCTTCAGCACTTTATGGACCCCATTGTTAATCCCCGTCATAACAGAGGCATTGTCAGTCCCTATCCCCAGGAGTTTCTCTTTTTTAAGGCAACACTTCTCGAGGAAAGCCACAACAGCACGGGCTATAGATTTGGCATCTCCTCCCTCCAACTCAACAAGCCCCAGAAATGTTGATACAATTGTCTGCTTGGTGTCACTAAAGTACCTTATCACAACCCCCAGGTACTTAGAAACACTTACATCCGTGGACTCATCAAGGAGGAGGCTGAAACGCTGGTCACCCACATCTGCGACCAACTTTTTCAGAAAGTATGGTGCTAGAACACCATTAATCATTTCTGTGCACTTTGTCCTGTGCATTTTGAAGTGGGTAGCAGCAGTGGAGTCTGAGAAAGCAGCTCTACATGCTTCTCCAATGTGATCACATGCCAGCATGGAACAGTGTTCAGCGATAGCTAATGCCATGGTGGCCTCCGCCTTTTTTGCAGAGTCAATTTTTTTAACCATAAATGGCAGCTTGTTTTGGGTGGAACTGTTATAAGGCTTTGCCTTTTGAGTATGTTTTTAAGTTGTCATGTCTTCTTTTACATCACTAAGTTTGGCGTAGAAATCAACCTTACAATACAGGCAGTATGCCCGTGTATCATCTCCAATAAACGGCTTCAACCAGCCTTTGAATTCAGGGTTTGATTCCCAGTCCTTTCTTTATTTTTGAGTGTACAGTTTAGACTGAGACATGATGAGCTAGCCAGCTAGATGTTTAGCTTATGTCACAGAGAGGCACACACACAGTGGACGAGGTGAGTAAATGACTGAGGCTGTGTGAGTCAAATGCAGTGATTTATTTTAGACAAAGAACATTTTACATTTACATCCCGCCCTGAATGTAAGCCAGGGCGGGATCAGCCAGCGGCGGCTTCCCGCATGCGCGATTCATTTGCAGTCTGGATGCGGATGGGTGAACCTCTCCTGCTCTGACTGCAGCTGGGAGGGACTGCTGTGCGAGGACTGGGCCCCCTGTGAGTGCTTTGGGACGGGGGTGGGGCCCACGGCAGCACCCGCTGCTCGTTGAGAAGAGTAAGAACGATACGTGCTTTCACGTCAGTCTCCAAAAGTCTCCAATAACACCAGAAAAAGTCGCTAGATTTGTCGCTAGTCGATTTTTTTGAAAATGTGTCGCTAGAGGGGTCTGAATAATCGCTAAATATAAGTTGGCAACACTGTGAGAGTGCTCTGAAATTGGAGTAGATAGCCAGAGCGAATTTACGAACGCACCCTCTTTCGCGGTGCTGTGGACGCGCTTCACAATTTAAACAGGTCAAATCATGGGTATTGACACACGCTTTTATCTAATCGTTTTATCTTGTCCCTTTAAATACATTTGCTTCCATAGAGTAGAAGATGGGCCTATGGATGAATGAAACATCATAATATCCTTGAATTGTCAGAGTCCCTCTTCTAACATAGTCTGACCAGTGGATGCTCTGTAGCTCATCAGAGTACCAATAATCACTCCAACACATAATGGCAGTGTCAATTTACACACTTTATTTTATAGCATTAGCAATCACCTGAAAAAAAGACAGATTCATGGTGCTACTTAAGTATTTTGGCAAAATAGCTTATCTTTAATAAGGAATAGGCCTATGTAAATTTTCTTCCAAATATACATTTCATACAGTAAAATATTGTGTTGAAAAGTAGCATTTAAAATTATAGTTTAGTCTGTAGTTTGTATGACGTTTAACAATAATGGAAAAACAAACCTTACACTCAACACACTCAACTACCAATACTCAAATACAGAAAAAAATAGGACAATAGCAATTGATATCCACATAGTTTCACAAATTTGAAAATAAAATAATAAAAACAAGATAATGAAGTCAACCTATTCATAAATAGGTTATTTATCTTAACATTGTTTGCCTGACACATAAAAGTGAGAAATCTACAGAAAAATATTAAAGTTAGCTAGAAAAAACAGGGAATTGTTTGACATGGGCATAGTCAAAGAAAGCAATAATGCCAATGTGCTGTTGCTGAATCAAGTTAGTGTATTCTTGGAGCATGAGTAACAAGCACTAAACAGGGTTAGGTCTCTTTGAGAATGAAAATTATTTAATTACATTAAAACTGGCACATTTTTAGACGAGGCTGTGAAATGGCCTACTTTTCTGCTTTATTTCTCTTGGCCTGAATAGATTCAACCTCAAAACAGATGCTTGAGCTACAGAGCTAATTTAAA